AGAAAAAAAGTCCAGTTGCCCTAACTCAAGTTCCAGAAAACTCAACCTGGATGGCTGAGAATCTTCATCGGCATAGTAACTAGACCAGTGGTTCTCAACCTGTGGGTCGGGACCCCATTTGGGGTCGATTGACCATTTCACGGGGGTCACCAAGCAAGGCTGTCCACCATTTTTTTTGTCTGCCATTTTTTTTGTCCATTTTTTCCCCCTTTTCCGGCGGGTGCCTTACCTCCCTTGGGCTGGGCCAGCTGGTGGTCGACCTGCTCCGTCTCTGCCGCTTGCCAGCTACGCCTCGGCCAGCGCAGGGGGCGGAACCACGCATGTGCGGCACTCCCGGGCAGGGAAAGTCCTCGACTTACGACCGGTTGGGTAGTCCTCGCCTTACAACCGGTTTAGTCCTCGACTTACGACCGGTTTAGTCCTCGACTTGCGGCCGGTTTAGTCCTCGACTTACGACCGGTTGGGGTCGCGGCATTAAAAAGGTTGAGAACCACTGAACTAGACAGTTCATATAACCTGGCTAAGCACAACCCGAGTATTGTATTTGATAAGGGGGGGGGGGAGTTCCTGGCTCAACGGTTGATAACATATCAAGAGGTTGGTGTGAATTGTCTTGTGTGTTTAACCAATTGCTCATCCAAAATATCATTATTATTGTTTTTAAAGGGAGACTAACACCGTAGTTTGATCTGGCAAAACAAGAATCAGCAGCAGGCACAGTGTTCAGGTACTGGAGGGAAGGAGACAGTCCAGGACTACAGCACAGCTGGAAGGGAGCACCAGATCCCCACCCAGAACAGGTTAAGGCAAGGCACCTCCCCTTTGGGCATTAGTGTGCCTCACACTGACTTCACGGAGTGATCTGAACCACAAGACAGAAAACACCGTTTCAGTAGCAGAACATCTGGCTAATCTCACAATACAGCATTAAGAGCAGGATTACCAGTGTAAGGGAAACGGCGCAGATGTGCCCTCTTGAAGGAATAATCTCCTAATTTTCAAAACCTGTCAAAGTCATCAGGACCATAGTTAATTCTCGCAAATATAAATGTCATAAAAGCAAGCACTTTATTTGGGAAAAGGCCTTGGTGATGCTGTTCCCTGCTTTGGAACTGTCAATCACAAAAACTCTTCTTCTTTTTCTTTTCTTTCTTTCTTTCTTTTTTTTTTTTTGATAAGAGTGCGCTTCAAGGAAAACCTCCCCCTTCTCTGAAAATATAATCTCTGCATTTCTCTACGTATCTCGATTGCTTCTCAAATTTTAGAAGGAACTTGATCGTGTTTGGCTGGATTGGTCAGCCCAGAAATGCCTACCTCCAAAATGGTTTGACGCACGTTTCTCATTTTTGCATATCTGCAACAAGTTCTACCCCGTGTTAGAAACTCCCATACTCTATTAAGGCTGAAGAATGAACATTTGGAATTGTTCAAGCTTTTCTGGAACAAAACTGGCTGTTTCCACCTTTTTTCCTAGCCTTTTTCTAAATGTGCTTCAAACTCTTGGCATTTGAAATATTATTGGTAGTAAGCCACCCTACTAGCAAGAAGAAAGATAATAGAGTCTGGCCTGAACAGTCTTTTAATCTGAGAAAGTGGAGAACTTAATTAAATTACATTTTAGAGCAGAAAATAATTTTTTTTTCCGTATCTGTCTCCAGAGGGTTATGAACACCACATCTGATGTTATAATCCAACTCTATCCTACTCACAGGTAATTAATTACCTTGAAGGAAAATGATCCTCTCCAACATCCTCCATAAGCTTTGTAGCTGGATTTGAACTTGAACTTACCTTCTAAAATCAACATTACATTTTAGATCAACCTTCCACAACTTTGGCAGCCGTCAAATAAGCAGACCACAAATCCCAGAATTCTGAGTAATGGCCACATTGGTACGGAGCGCAGATAGTTTACATTCATACATCTAGCGGGCATCCAGACTGGGAAGGATTGCTTTCCATACATTTATTGATATGTTTACAGGATGCCACGCGTGTGCAACTATAAGAGATCAGATTCGTGCTCTGAAGAAAATCAAATTTTAAATTCCTTACGTGGCATACCTGGAAGGAAAGTCCTGGGAGACCTGGAAGGAAGAGAGAAATGTAAAACAGTCAAAGGTACGATATATTATTCTTTCACTTACTTGGATTTAGATTCAGTTGCAGGCCTTATAGGGGGTATGCCGTGAACATTTAAAGGCCTTGCAGAAAAGTTTGATTTTTGAACAGGGGTTTTGAAAGAATCGGGAATCAATATGTTTTTACAGTCATCCCAATCAAAAGGAAGCCAGGTAGCAGATGCTGGTTGCTACCCCATTTTATTTCTCTATGCACAATTACCTCTTGTGCATCAGTTGCAACCCTTTCTGGAACTAAGGGCTTTGCTCACAAGTCAAATGCATTTCATATGGCACACAGCTGACCCTAAGGACAATTTAGAAGTTGGTTTAACATGCATTGGCCCTGATATTTATGGTGCGCCGAGGGTCACTCATGCAACAACTCTACTACGAGAACAGCATTAGTTGCCACTTTGCTCTGGCCCAGGTGCAATTTCATACTTAAAGACCTATTTGGCCTAGGGCCATGGTGGCGAACCTATGGCACGCGTGCCACAGGTGGCACACAGAGCCCTCTCTGTGGGTACGCGCGCCGTCGCCCCAATCCTAGGCCTTCAGCTAGGTTTTATAAAACCTTTTCGCTTTAGGCCTCCGCCACTGTGTGCAAAAAAAAAAAAAGGTTCAATCAATCTCAACTTCCCGCAGAAAAAAAAAGATTTCGCAAAGTTGGAATTGATTGATTGAACTTTTTAGTCCCACCCAGTCTGCCGTTACCACCGCAGCCACATCCACCCAATGGGCCACGCCCACCCAATTGGCCACACCTACCCGATGGGTCACGCCCACCCAGCACCCGACAATACATAAGTGGGTTTTGGGTTGCAGTTTGGGCACTCGGTTTCTAAAAGGTTCGCCATCACTGGCCTAGGGCCTGGATATCTCTCCATCTGCCTTCTCTGGATTAAACCTGCCACCCTCTGAGATCAGTATTAGGGCCCCACCACCAAGGAAATGCCATTTGCGGGGAAACCCAGAGCTGAAGGACTGAAATATGACCCTTCCCTTTGGAAAAACTTACCCCTACGTATTCAGATCACCCCATCCTGATTATGCTTCTAAACAGCTCTGGGAACATGACTGGTTAGGACAGCAGGTGACAGCATCCAACTGACCTTGTAAAGTTAAGGAGGGTCAGGCCTGGTTAGTGCTTAGATAGGCCACAAGCAGAAATCCCAGTTCTATCTGCTCAACCGGGAAATCCCAGAAAAGCTACATTAAGGAAGCATGCAATAGCACATTCTTTCAAAAAAAACACAAAACCCTGCATGGTATATGTGAAATCCACACAAGATCGATCGATCATTCATTCATTCATTCATTCATTCACAGGATTTGTATGGCTGTCCATTTAAAAACAAGCTGAGCAGTCCCAGTGTGGCAAACAAGTGAATGATTTCACGATACCTTTGCTAAGTCAGATTTAGTTTTAAATGTTAAGTTAAAATCTTAAAATAGATGGAATTGCCTAAGGAAGTCTACTTGACGCTCTAAGTGACAACACCTTGTCACAATGGCCAGGCAACAATGTTGTTTTTTTCGCTTTGCAACTCTCAAATTACTTTTTCTGTGTCTGCGCCCGCGAGGAAATTGCAAAGAGGGATGCGAGCTCAAGCGGCCGCCAGCAGAGGGCGCCCTCCCTTCCCCTCCTTCTGTCTCTCTCCCCCCCCCCCCCCCTTTTGACTTAGCATTAGCCAGCAATTTCACGCTTGGAGAAAGGCGGCGTTTGCAGAGCCCTTCTTGAGCCAGAAGCCAACTAGAATTACATCACGGGCTCAAGCGTGGAGCCGCGCAAATAAATGCAGCGACAACCAGGTACCAGGGCCATCCTAGGGGGGGAAAAGGCACGAGGTGAGCGAGTTTGAGCGGCTAAGAAGCAGCCAGTCCGGAGGATGCAACGCGGTGCTTTGCAAGGTTGCACAGGCTTGCTGTCCCGGTGTATAAAAGCTGGCCGTAAGTAAGGCCGCCTTCTAATTCACAACCCAGCTCAGCGAGGAGCGTGCCCGGCGGAGCAGTGGCCAAGCCACCTCGGATAGGTTCTCCTTTGCTACGGAGAAGCAATTGAAGAGGCTCCTGCACGCGGAGCATCACTTTCCAGCCCGCGCTTTGAGCTCGCCGCGGACGCAACGGGGAGAAAGAGGCTGCCCCCTCCCCACCTACTCCCTTCGGCCGGGCCGGCTGGAGCAACCGCCTGAGAGCGATTGCCTCCAATCGGGACTTCGGGAGTAGCAGATCGCCTTTGCCTCCCGCCGCCCCCCCCACGCCCACGAGTTCCCTCTTTTAAGGAGAAGTGCCTGAAAAGAGCGAGTCGGTGGTTTCCATAGCGATGGAACAGAAAGTGCAGGAAATTTAAAGACGCTGGATCCTCGCGCAGCAGACAAACTGGTGCCAACGTGCGTGGCGACGGCGGCGGCGGCGGCGGCGGCTGTTGCAAACTGCAAAGGAGACGGGAGCCGAATGGAAGTTTGCAGAGGTCTCTCCTGAGTGACGCGGCGCGCAACTCCTGAAGTCCGGAGACGGAACCGTTGCATGGGGCACCCCAGGCTTCTCGTTTTCTGCACCGGGCTGCCGAGTTTCACGACCAGCATTGCTTACTTCTAAACGGTGCTTTCTCTCTTTTTTTTTTTTCTTTTTTGCTGCTGCTGTTGCCTACTCACCGGATCCGAGGAAAGGCGTTTGGGCAAGGAGGCTGCAGCCGCTGAAGGCAAGCGGCAGGGGACGGACGGACCCTCCTCTCCTGCCCCCCTCCTGGCTTGGATACCCTCACCTCCTTTCTCCGGCCGATGTCTCTGCTCGGGCCCGCTTCTGTGTGAACCCTGTCCCCTTTCCCTTTCCCCTCCATCCATCCATCCCTCTCTCTCTCTGTCTCTCTCTCCGAGCATGGATCACCTTCAGTGGCTGGTGAGGTTTTACGCGTTGGCGGTTCTCCTAGGTTTCCGGCTGGAACAGGGCGCTTGCCAGCATTACCTCCACATCCGACCGGCCCCCAGCGACAATTTGCCCCTGGTGGATCTAATCGAGCACCCGGACCCTGTCTTCGATCCCAAGGAGAAGGACCTGAACGACACGCTGCTGAGGACCCTGCTGGGCACCCACTTCGACCCGAGCTTCATGGCGGTCTCCTTGTCCGAAGATCGTCTCGGAGGGGACGACCTAGCCCAGCTGGACCTGCTGCTGCGGCAGAGGCCGTCCGGAGCGATGCCCAGCGAGATCAAAGGTCTGGAGTTTTACGACGGGGGGCTCCAGGCCAGCAAAAAGCACCGGCTGAGCAAGAAGCTCCGTCGGAAGCTGCAGCTCTGGCTGTGGTCTCACACCTTCTGCCCGGTCCTCTACACGTGGAACGACCTCGGCAGCCGCTTCTGGCCCCGCTACGTGAAGGTGGGCAGCTGCTTCAGCAAGCGCTCTTGCTCCGTCCCGGAAGGCATGATTTGCAAGCCGGCCAAATCCATGCATCTGACCATTTTGCGGTGGAGGTGCCAGCGCCGCGGGGGGCAGCGTTGCACGTGGATCCCCATCCAGTACCCGATCATTTCCGAGTGCAAATGCTCCTGCTAGGGCGGGGGGGGGGGGAGCCGCCACCGCGCGTGTGCCCTCCGCTCCAGTCGCCGCCGCCAACGTCCCGAGGAAAACAGCAAAGCCAAAGCAACACCCTGCCTCTTTTTCGCACCGAACCAACCATCCGGCCCGCGAAGCCGGGCTTTTGGGTCGACTTCAAGACGCTACAAAAAGAGATGGACGTTGGCCTCCCCGTTGAAACGTTGCACTGCTCCGGGTTGTGCAAAGCCAGGCAACCTTTTTTGCTTTTGTGTAAAGGCGAGCCGTGCGTCACGAAAGACCTGGGAGAGTCCTTGCGCGCGCGCGCGCGGACCCTCTGCCCTGCAAGACCACCCAAACGCCTCTGAAAGCAGGTCAGTGTGAACACCGCGAACTCTGCTCGCCTGCTGTACTATTCAGAGTAGATTCGCCCGGATCACCGCGATTGAAGTTTTCTCCACCCCACCTCCCCGTCTTTAATTTATATTCCAGGAAGAAGCGTTTGGAGGATTTAAAAACAAACGCTCCTCAAATCTTGGTTGTTGGATTTTTTTTTTGTGTTGTGTTTTTTTTTTTTTGCAAAGTCTTTTTTTTTTAAAAAAAAGAAAAGAAAAGAGGACTTTTAACATAAAACATTTTATTATAAATGGAAATATTTTCCATTCTTTGGGGGGGGCGAAGTCTTTTGAGTGATTTGCGTGTGAATTTTTTTTTTTACGGACTTCCGAGATTGATTACTAACGATACTATGATGAAAGGTTAAGACGCCCTTGTTACTGTTGTACATAGCGGGTTTGGTGTTGTCGTGTTTTTCTTGGAACGTCTTTCATCTTCTGTACGTGAAAGAGAGTTTGCTATTTATTCTTTATATTCATTCCCTTGTAGTCGAAAGTTCAGCTCAAAATTAAAATCAACCACTAAAAGATCAAAACCCTCCTTGGATTCTTGTGGGGCGCGGTTGGCGAGGGGGGGGGGCGCGCTGGCCGAGGCGGCGTGCGGCTTGAGAGGCGAAGGCACACACACACACACACCCCCCGTCTTTCCCAGCAGCGCCACCTTCCTTGGAAGCCGGTCCCGCCGGGTCGGATCGGCGCGAGTTTTCCCAGTCAGCCCGCTCCGCTCGGGAGCGGGAGAAGAACTCTGGAAAAGGCGCGCTGCTTGTTTGTTTGCTCGCTTCTCCGCCGCCCCGCATTTGGCCGTCGCCCCCTTTGGAAGGCGCGAGGCAGACGCCTTCGGAGAGACGGCGGCGGGAGGCGGGCCCCGGGAAGGAGGAGGGGGGGAGCCGGGTGGTTGCCGCTTTTGACATCTCATTTACCAGGAGCCACGTGTCTCTGACACCTACCCTTGTGGCCGAGCCCCGCTGAAACTCGAGCCCCGACGCCGCGTTCTTTGGCGCTCGCTGCAGACAGTCGCCTATCCCGGGCACGGCCGAGGCAGCGCCCCTCTCCGCTTATCCGCCCCCTTTTCTCTTTAACCCTTTCTTTCCCTTCGGGAAGGGGAGCGCTCGCCCGGCGGGAAACCGGAGCGCGCCTTCCCTGCCTTTTCTCTTGCTTTCTCCTCTTTCCCCAACCCCAAACTGACACCCCCCCTTTTTTTTTGCCTCAGTAAAGATGAGTCTCTTCTCCCTCATCACATCATGCCAAATGACTCTAGAGCAGGGGTAGTCAACCTTGGCTCTTTTATGACTCGTGGACTTCAACTCCCAGAATTCCTGAGCCAGCACAGCTGGCTCAGGAATTCTGGGAGTTGCAGTCCACGAGTCATAAAAGAGCCAAGGTTGCCTACCCCTGCTCTAGAGAGTAGCCTCTCCAGCCTATCTGGGTTAGTCCCCGCTGTGCTAACTTTTGCTCTACTCTGAAAAAAAATGGGACGAATGTTAGCATGTTTGGGTGTGCATCGGTGAAGGAGTTTTCACAGCACCAGAGGTCTCCCGCCTACCGCTAGAGCCAAAAAAAAGAAAGGAGAGGCTCTGATCAACCTTCCCCATCAACCAAGGATGAACTGAGTCAGCAAACTCCGTTTTCTGACTCAGGGAAAAAAAAAAGTTTCCTGTAAATAAACTTTCCTCCCTCACCCCCGCAGAGCCTGGTACTCTGGTACTTCTTTCCCAAACCAAAAAAATTTGTATTCTCCAGGTAATGTCATGCCAGGATGCTTAAGAAAGCTCATTTTTACACATTCACCCATTGATGTGGCACCTATCCCTGAGGTGCATAGGTCCAGCCACCTACAGAAGTTGCTTCTGTTTTAGAATTGCTTAAACAGATGTAGGGCAGTCAAAAATTCAGATATTTACGTGAAGGTCTAGCACGCTGATGTCCCGGCCTTTTGGTTTCCTGGCCTGTACTAATTGCAGAGGAATTGTCTCTGGCCGCATTTAGTTAATGTATATAAAACACATAATAATGTTAACAGTTTTACGATCTGCTGCGGGCCGCATTACTCCCCGTAGCTCTGCCTAGGATTGCATGCAGCTCGTGGGCCGTGGGTTGGACGCTCCTGCTTTGCTCTATTACTTGACATAAAGGGCGCACATCTTTTCTTGTAGCATTCAGAGATACGATATTACTGCTAAACTATCCCATAAGTGCAGAAGGTGTTTGAAATTGGGAGATTGCATGGCTAGCAACTTTGTCTCCAGGAGCTGGGCCTAGTGCTTTTAGGGCTAATAAGACTAAGAGGCATAAATCATGTAACTTTCTATGCAAGCATGGGGAAAGTAGAGGCACTGCCTACAAAACAGGAAGGGACTAACACAGGATTTTTTAGGCCTGTAATTTGTTCCTACAGATGCTTGTGGAGCAGCTCTGCTTTTTCTTCCTTTATCTTCAGTGCCCATAACCTACAACAGTGTCTCTCAACCCTGGCCACTTTAAGATGGGTAGACTTCAACTCTCAAAATTCCCCTAGGCAGCATGCTTGCTGGGGAATTCTGGGAGTTGGAAGTCCACCCATTTTAAAGCTATCAAAGCTGAGAAACGCCACTCTACAGTATTCCTTTCTATATTTTGAGAATTGTGATCCAGCTAGATCACTTTTCTTTACACAAAATGGTTAGGGGCATCTCTCCTGTACCCTTACTTGTCTGAAAAACTAAATACTGGCTCCACTGAGGAAGAAAATTCCACGTTAAGGCAACTCCTTTGTGGGGCAAGCACAAAGATTACTTGGAGAGTTTTCCAAAAGTACCTACTCTTCTGTGGTGCATATTTATTTGGTTCCCCAAGTCAAGTTGAGTTTGCTTAGCATGGGAATGACTCGCAGCAGCAGCAACAATCCAGGAATCCTTAGCACACTGATTAAAAGCCCTCCAGGAACTTACTCTAAAGTAAGAGAAATAAGAATGGATCAGCTTAAAATACTGTAATACTTAGGATCACATGAGCCATACAGGGTGATCTTAGGTCAAACTTATCTCCTCATCAGCACTCAAACATTAACATTAAAGCAACATGCTTTAATCAGATAACTTCCTGTAGCCTATTAACCTAAGCTGATGACTACAAAGCCTCGTGCTTCTAATTCATCAAAACAGTCAACAGTTTGCTTCCTTAGAACAAGTTGTCTCAAAGCCACGCCTCCAGACAGGCCTTCCAATCCTGAGCCTGCCAATTCCAGATGTGCAACTGGGTGCTGAGGATGCCAGATGGTGAGTGGCTGGAGGATTAAGGGGAAGTTTGGCCCTACATTTAAATATTCTCTGTCTCTTTTCTCTTACACACATACACACCCACGGTACAGCCTTGAGTCACTGACTGGTCTATTTTTAATTATAGACTCTTGAACTCCTAAAGGGAAGTTGGAGAGCAGAAATGAAATAAAAGGAATCAATCCAATTCTCCATCTCTTCCAGGTCCAATAATTGGAGCCTCCATGGATGAGTGGTTTAAGCATCAAGTATCATTGTGCCAAGTTAAAACGGCCGTCTTAGATTAGTTAAGAAAGAACTGTATATTTGAATGAAATATGTGTTCATAGAATACATCTGGCCAGTCCAAAGCATAATTGTGACATAGCATCCTAAGCTTCATTCGTTTTTAATTTTTTGTGGAGGGGTTGGGATGATTTTTGTGTTGGATTAATACAATTTTATTGCGGTAGTTTATGACCCACTATATTGTATGAGCTCAGAAACTGGACTAATTCAGTGGCCAGCTTAAGGTGAGTGGTAAGGACACAGCCAGTGTTTCAAGGGGAGGAGCAGTTCAAGTCTGAATTCAGCAATAATTTCTCAGTTGTTTAAGCAAGATGACAAGAAGTGCTTCTGTCCCTATTGGACTTCACTGTGTGATATAGGTGAAAATACGAGGCAATACAATGCAAGCTTAGGCAAGTTGTTATTCTGCACACACACACATACACACACACCATTATATTTTATAATGTGATTCCCATAATTCCTGACCTCAAGTTATACTTACTAAGTAGGAAAGGGCAAATAATTTGGGCAAAGTTGTATTGTGGGCTATGTCCATTCTGTCCAGTTGCTCAACATACTTACGTGCCCCTTTCAAGCTACTAATTCCTCTGAAAGCTGAACTTCTAAATTTTACTTCTAAACAGACATCAGGACGATTAAGTTATAATTGGTTGACTTTAGATTGTAGAAGTATCTCAGCTGTGAGTTTGGCAATGCACTGTTGTTTATTTATCCCTCTCATGTATCTTCCCTGTTATTGTCATAATATACTAAGCATGCATATTCATTAAAAACGATCTGTAAATCAGTATTACAATAATCAGTAACTATGACTTTGGCATGGCAGAACAATTCTGTGCTACTTATTGTATAAATGTCTATAAATCACAACATCTCTCTCTGTCTCACACGCGCACACACACACACACACACACAGAGAGAGAGAGAGAGAGAGAGTCTTGCTAATGTACACAATCTAATATACTCTATTTTGTGATCATCTGGGTGTTTTGGAATAAGATTCAGAAAAAGTGTCACCTTAAAAAAAGCAACCTTACATTTCAGAGAATTCTTACAGATAAGAGATCAAATTGGTGTTTGA